TCTACTGACTAACGTCCGCATGTGACGGCGGATTCACGGTGGAGTTCTGGCGAGTGCATATTTCGTATTGTGTAGAATTTCCTTGTAGAGTTCCGAACACGTCATCGGAACTGCTAGGGTTGGTTGGGCGCTTGACGGGGTAGTGTTCATCTCCTTAACTCGAAACACGTTTAGGCCTCTGAAGAAGACGACCCTGTCGAAACGTTAGGCCGTTGAATAAAGATTCCACCTAAAAACCTCAAGAGGCATAGCAATACTAACGAATTTCTCGTTCTACCTTTGGAACTTGTTCCAGTCCTTTTAGAAAATTCCACTTGCGTAGACAGCGAAACATTACCTGATCTCCAGCGCCTACATCAATCTCTTTCTTGTCAGTATGTACACCTGCGGCGATTTCAGGACTTTGCTGCTCGAGGGCGACCAAAACATTGCATGTCTTGTAGTCGAAACCTAAACGGAGTCCTCTATGAAAACGAACAATATGGTAGTCGCTTTTCGAGCAATTTCGACGAAGAACACAGCCTTTATTAGGACCAGTTTTTATACCAAAAATGACCATACCAGCTGTTATCCCCTTATCACTCATTGTTTCTTGCTACAGCTTGAGCTGAAAATGCATGCAAAGCTGCTCAACTTTTCATATTTTCCCAAGGTTCACTTAGATGTCAACCAAACATATACAGCACATAGCTGACCCAAGGAAAGGGTTTTTCAAGAGAGCGGGACTCTTCCATGGTTGAGCCGTTACCGAAAACTGGAGCAAGTGATTTGAGGCATTGAGGTCATTCCTTGCTTAACTGGAACCGAACCTTTGTTCAGATGGTGAGTCATTGGCAAACTTCTATCCCGCAGAAGAAGTCCAGAACCTCAACTTGCTGAATTCAACAGACTTCCTGGATTACCACGGCGCACCGAAGAAATAAACTAGATGAGCTAAAACGAGCAAGACCAGACCACTAGGCTCAAATGCAAGTAAGCTTATTTTGAATGATTCCTTTTTTAGACAGGAAACTTCAGTCATGAGTGAATATTGTATAGAGGTACGATACGACCCCGTGTGTTGCAACACACAAATCAGTACCTGATTGCAGCCTACACTTACCATTCGAGAACTACAGGGTAGCGTTTATACAAACTTTGAATGCACTACAAGCGGCTGAATGGTAACAGAATTAAGGCACTACTAAATATAATTATTCTAAGTTTTTCTTTTTTTTGTCGAACCTTTGCCGAAAGAGAACATCCATATTACGATCATATGACATTTGTCCTAACGTTGGCACCACTTAGCACCAATCAGCGGCACCTTGGCGTCACCATTTCGCTCACCGAAATCATTGAAAACTTGCGCACGGTTATTTAGTTGGCACTCATTGAGCACATGACATTCAGCCTTGGCGCTGGCACTCTGTAGGACACCCTGATCATCTGCGCTATACTAAGGTTGATCTTGACGGGAATGGAATCACTCCGACTCCAAGCTCAGGCGTAGTATCGTGCTAAATGGCTCTGGTATCGATAAAATGCCCCACTCGCGGCCTAAACTCATGCGAGTTTTCATCGCTTTTGGTGAAAAGGTCTGGCGCCAAAGCTGAGAACAGATGTGATATTCGTGACCTACCCTGTGAACTTTCAGCGAAAACAACTTTTTCTGGGTTTTTTGGGTGTTAGTAATTCAATAGCCCCAAAATTAATTACTCAAACAGATCACGTGAGAACACGAGCAATCGCTATCTTTTAGGGCAAATAACGGACCGATTAGAGACTAACCAGGAACAATGGGATTCTCGCGATAAGCAGAGTATTAACTGCGTAATAACACCAAAGTTCCGCCTGCCGTAGCTGGCCCTTTCAGAAGGTTTTATGTATTCCATGCAGATTCTATAGTTCCTTTTCTCATTACAGGTAGTAGGAAGGAACCAGATTATTTCTAGTTCATTTGACCGTGGCCCTCAGTTCCCTACGAATAGGTTCGATTCTCTTAACCGCGCATAGCGCCGTGCTCTGGGAAATAGGTGAATCATGGTTCAAGAAGAATGCGCTGCTGAGGAATATAGGTATCGATCGACGTCTGTGAAGGTAGAAGAGAAGCACATTGCGCGACAAACCGTTAAAAAAATAGTAGCATCCGCAGTACAACTGCAGGAGACCCTTCTCCTATCTTCCCATTGCAAAGTATGAACGAAGGTCAACGACCGCGGATGCCCGTGAAAAGGCTTCTTGGAACCCGGAGGCAAGAAAACTCAAAAAACCCCTCTCTATTATATGCTCTCCCATCTGTTTAAAAGGCTCGTCCTTTGGTTCTAGTGTCCTTCACGAAATATCGAAAGGACCCACCACACAAAAACACGTCGCAACGCCAAGCCGGTCATCGACTGACTTAGTTCATTAGGAAAAAACCACCAACCCTTGCTTGAATCGTCGTAGCCGATTTTCTTGACAACGTCACGAACAAGCG